TATATATATACACATGTACCAGAAGGTCTCTTAGGTGTTGTCAGAGGAAATGTCAACAACCTTATCGTGGCAACATAGGTGGGGGGTCTGTTAAAAACCTGAATTGTAAAAACGAGTCAAATGAGATAAAACCCACAYGATGTGTCTACTTCACGGCTTCCATAGGATCCAACAGCCTGTCTACTGAATATGAAAGGCCTTATGTCAGCGTGGCACTGAGGCTCTTCTGGTTGTTAATCTCTCCTGTCTCCTGCAGCCCTGAGCCACCCTCATCCAGGCCAGATGATCACCTGGCTTCCTGGAAGGTGATAACCACATGCAGCTTGTCAAAACACCCACAGTGTGTGACAGAGGCAGCAGGTGGAGGAGGATTCACCTCTCTGTGTGCTCTGCACGCACTCTCAGTGCCAACCCAAGAATAGCTGGTGAAAAKTGTACCTCCATCATGTACTGGTCCACAATATGCAGCTCTGCAACAGGTCCTTTATGAGATTTGTACATTTCCACATCATCGAAGGTGGGGACGTACCTGAAACATGAACAACATGTTACATCTCTTTAAACTGAAGTTAAATACATATATTTATTTCTTTGTTAAAGAAACAATGTTCAGCATTATATGAGTGATTTCAACTAAAACAGGAAAAACAGGTTGAAGCAACATACAGTACTACTGCAAAATATTACACATAACCACATTAACTGATCTTTTTACACAACGTTTAAAATTAAGAGTTTTTTATGGGATAAAATAGTTTTATATAGGCAGGGCAGAGGGGTCAGAGTTAAACCATAAATGTAACCTGGAAATGTTTGTAATGGTTATAAAATAATTTTATACCAGCTTACAGACCTAACGATCATATCACCACCTGCAGCAAGACTAAAAGGGTGTGATGATGTTATGGCATGTGTCTGTGTGTGAGTGTTGTGTTAGCAAAATATCTTCTCAACCTGGAGTTTCCTTCAACAAGAGAGTAATTACTGAAAGTATTTCTACACCTGAAGAACTTTCCAGGTTAGACCAGTTCAAGATGGCTGCCAGCTAACTGATCGTAGCAAACATAAAAATGTTTTTATCATTAGTATACAATTTAATGAGGTTGTAGCTGAGAGTCATTGACAAACATACTGTAAGCAGTGGTTCCCAAAGTGGGGGCACACAGGGGGCCTAGATG